TAAGCAGTCTAAAGACCAGTCTGATGCTGGTTAAATACATTCAGTAGTGAGGACCTTCAAGACATCAGCTAAAGAGCATTTTGGCAGAAAGTACCTATAGAGAGTGGTTCTTACCTGGTGATGGTAATGAAGACTCTTCAGTGTTTTAAATATTTTTTTTAAAGAAAATGATTTCTAAGAAACATTTGAACATGGTAAAAAAAAAAAAGTGGCCTAAGGTTTCTTTTCTATTTCTTTCTGCATTTATTTACTTTCAGGAGGGACAATCACAATTCTGGAAGTCTGGTAAAGTCCCATTGACTCCTTCCCAGAATACTGTTTTTAAAAACAAGTAATAAAAAATTCACAGGATTATGGAGAAATTATGAATATTGAAATAATACATTAGTCCAAGTTCATAGAACTGAAGGTTCTGCTGATCCAGTTTATGAATATAGTCATTTATAATCTCTCCATAAATGTTTTATTTAAGTGAGTTCAAAGCATCTCAATAAACACATTAGCTGAGGTTAAACTTGTAATGGGAACACTAACAAGAAGGTGGCAGTAGACAAGGGAGTGGTGGGGACTGTGGCAGAATGTACAGTGCGTGCCCTGCCTAAAGCAGGAAGTCTCTAAGGAGATCAACAGATTTCTGTCACACGGGAATGTGGGCCCTATACGACCATGTCTTTCTCTTTTTCAAGAGAAGCAAAGTATTTGGGTTTTTACATAAAATATCCTATTTGTCAATGTTGGCTGAAGAAAAAAGATTAACATTATTTGGAAAAAAAAAAGAAGATGTACCTTTTACCAGATTTGTCTAGAGAGGTACAAGTGTAAGACTTCAAGAAAGTAAGAGAAATTGGAAGAAACCAAATACTCATAATTTAATGTATATTTTTCACTATTGGTATCCTTAGGACCGTTACTTTTAAAACATAAGAATTAATTTAGGGCTGGGGTCRTGGCTCAGCGGTAGAGTGTTCACCTAGCAAGAGCGAGGCCCTGGGTTCAATCCTCAGCATCACATTAAAAATAAATAAATAAAATAAAGGTATTGTGTCCAACTACAGCTAAAAAATAAATATTTTTTTAAAAAGGAATTAATTAATTCACCTTCCTTCCTATGGCGGCACCCTGTGCAATAGAACACTCAGTGGATTAAGCTAAGGAAAGGCTTAGCTCTTCCAATGTTTATTGAAAACCTACTTCTTTGTGCTCGGCAATACAAGTTGGTAAGAATATAAAGGTGAAGGCATTGACTTAGTTTCCAGTGTTTGCAAACCAGTCTAGAAAGAGTTGCACCAAAAATCTATAATACAACGTGTTAAATAAAGACTATGATAGAGATATGTCAAAAGTACAAAGAGTGTAGAAGGAAAGAAAATGTGAGTCTTCCCAGGAGCTGGAGAGGGGTTTTCAGAGGAGAGATCTCTTTGAGCAGAGCTTTATATAAAGAGGCCCAGATTGTTCAGCATCTGAGAGGATATGCTGAAGAGCTGGGTTTTTATCTGAGAGGAAATAGAGGGCTATTTAAGAATTCTGAACAGGGAAGCAGTATGTTCAAATCTTAAAGAATTCTGGCTGCAGTATGGAATGCTGTCTACAGGTGGAGACAGAACAGAGAATGAAGACTCAGGCTGGTGGTTTCAAGGGTTCAAAGGATGTATCAGGGCAGCAGCAGAGGCATGAACCAAGGCGAACTGGTGGAAAAGATACTTAAAGGATAGAAATGAAAGAACTTTGTGTCTGCTTGTCTGCTAGTGGCCAGGATAGCAAAAAAGGAGGGAAGAATTGAGAATGACTCACAGGACTTTCTACAAGAGAAAGTCTAGCAAAAACTATGAGCATAATCCTGAAGACAGATGACCTGAGTCCAAATGTGACTTCTTTCCATTTGCTGTGTGACTTTAGGCAAGATATATATATATATATATATATATATATATATATATATATATATTTCAAGTGCTTTTAAAACAGTACTTCCACTTATCCTTTTTAATTTCATTATTAACTATTATAAATTTGGTTAGGACAGTAGTGTCACTCCATTTGTTTTAGAATACTAAATGTTGCAGCTGATGTGCTTTTAGAACACTCTAGGTTTGCATAGTAGATGTGGATCTCAGGTTGAGATCCTAGCATGGTAATAACAGTGAGAGTCTTTTATGCAGATCGTCTGAGATGGTTTTTGAGAAGAAGGTCAGGGTTTGAGTCTCTAAGACACTGGTATTGAATCGAAAGAGTAAAATGGAAAGAGCAAAATTTGTAGAGGCACTTTAGAAGAGAAGTCCAGACAAGTAGTGGGGAAAAATGAAAGATTAGTGTCTTGAAACCAAGAGAATAAAGGAGTCTAGAAAGAGTGCAGCATATACAGAAAATATTATAAAGGAGTCGGGTATACTGATAACTGAAAAGCACCTATATTCCACAATTAGGAAATCTTTAATAAAGTAATTTAAAAATGACTTCTTGTCATTGACATATAGAAAACACTCAAATGCTAGTTTCCATTATACTTCTTAACTTTAAATTCATTTCTAGAGATAGTAAAATGAAAAATGATAATTAGATGGAATCATAAACTATCCATATTTATAATGAAAAACTGAATTCAAAAATTTCATATAATTCTACTATGCTGAGTCAATAAAAGTCTGCTTTGAAATTCTGTAAAAGAATATTTGTTTTTTGTTTCCATTATGATGCAGGGACTAAAACTACCTCTTCTGATTTTCCTAAAGAAATGATGCTGATAATAATTGCCAGTATCATATTAACACAAATAGGAGATGATGATATCTAAATGCCTTCCTTTCTCTGTATCCTACTGTAGTTATTTTTCTTGTCATTTTGCCTTTAGGGTCTAAAAACTACAGGGATGAAAACTGAATGTAACAGTAATTTGAAGCGAAGGATATTCATATCTTTCCAAAAGAATGTCTCCTGTTACTAATAACATTGATATTATAAAAAGTCTGGTTGTTTTGGCAGTGTAGAATAAAAAGTGAAAATGTTAAGAGTGTTAGCTTTGGAATCATATCCTGACTCTACCACTTATCAGGTATGAAGTCCAAGGAAAATTCCTTACTCTTCTAAACCTGCATTCCCTCATGTGTAAAATGGAGAGAAGACTGTTGTCACTGAGAATGAGGGTGGTGATGTACACGAGGGGTTAGCACAGTGCCGCTTAAAACAAATGATAGCTTTATGATATTTTGGTTTTTTATCTGTCCATTGTAGATGACCATGAAAAAATTCAAGAGAGAACTGTATTTAAAAGAATAGGTACATTTAGAAGGATTAATCTTTTCATATGCCAGCAAAAACCTTTAAATTCTTCTTAGCAGTGTGACTTGTCCCTTCACTGGTAGACTTCCAAGAGAACCAGCAGCCAGATCTGTACTTTCCCATGGCACAAGAGCAGAGTAAGCTTTGTGCTATTCATCTGTTGGGGACTAACCAACGTGTTTCTTCATAGTCAATGAAATATATGACTCGTAAAATAAAATCCCTCAAAATCTATACCCAAATAAAAGCCATACAATTGACTACTAAAGACTTACAAACAAACCTCAGCATTTAGGATTTGCATCAGGCAACTTAATCATATCTCAAAATGCTCTAATTAATCTGATATTTCCCAAACATGAAAGACAAATTATTAGTAAAAACATAATTCTCTTTCATTTTGCATTAAATTAAAGCAAGATAAGTTTATAACATATACTGAAACTATCTGATGAAAAAGCCCTTTTTTAGTTCATCACCTAAGTTTTCAAAGTCCATGGTGGTAATGTTTCATTTTGAATTTTAAATTGAATAAAAGCAAGGCTGAAAATACCCTATCCTGTTGTTTGCCTTTGCATTTTTCTGAAAGATTACTATGCTTTGCTATTGGCAAAATGGTTATTAAAAATGTAACACAAGCCTATGTAATGAAATGGAATCCCATAAAGTATGATAGTGTTATGGATCTTAAAGTAAAGCCACCAGTGCAGATGTTCCTAATCATACTAAAAACACAAATACACAAACCAGTTTGCTCCAGCTACAGAATAATTTAATTAAAAGAGTGCTTATAAYTTAACAATATAAATAACAGTTAGAGCCAGGGAGGTAGTGAAATAGCAAGGAAATATAAACCTACAGAGTCTATGCCAAGAAAACTGTTCCAAATTCTCAAGGCTGAGAAAACCATTTCTTTCCTTGTTACAGGTAGAAAATTGCTACCTAAATTAGCCAAAAACTGTGATTAATGTACCTTTAGGGAAAACACACACACACACACACACACACACACACACACGTGCACATACTAGTTAACTAGCTTTCATGAATACAAACACCTATCTAAATCCAGAATATCATTTAGAATCTGCTTTGGGGCAGTTAAAATCATACTTCTCACCAGTTCAAATTTCTTATTGAGATATAGATGCAGTAGGTAATGGGATAMAAAAATAAATCAGAATAAAACATAAGCTCTAAGGACATACAGTATTCTCTTTGCAAATAATGATCTTGGCAAAGAGCCTCCTTTTGTGCAGACAGCTCTGTTCCTTGCTTATAACAGCTCTCAAGTCAACAACAGGTAATTGTGTACTACTAATTAGGTTGAAAGACAWTTGTATTCCAATCAGGAGATATTTTATAGCTTGTTTCAGTGAAGGCAAGAAATTATATCTGCAAAATCAAGTTTTAAAAGTGCACTTTCCCATAATAACTGATCTTTTACTCTAACATTGTGTGAAATTTAACATCACAACTGTGTAATGCCATTCAAAAATTGGGTCAGTGCGTAATTGTTAGCAAAAGATAGCACAGAAATTAAAGGACAATTAGGAAAACTCTTACACAAAGATATCCATACTGCTTCCCAAAGTTAATAACAGTTTCATTAAATATTCATTTTGTTATCTACATTGTCCAGCCCAGTTCATTCATAATACCTTCCAAGAAGCAAAGCGACATCCACTCTGCAGAAAACGGGAAAACCAAATGCAGTACATTACCTTGTGTCACCTGTTGAACTGCCAACATTATCCCAGACACAGTGTCTGGAAGCAGGTTTTCTTTCAGATTGTAATGAGGTGCCCATTCCAAAATAGGTAGCCGCCTTCTGCACCACTGTTTAATGTCCTCATAATGGGGGGGATGCATCTTGCTCCAGAACATGCTTTTCTTTTTCCTCTTCGCCCCTGTCATTTTTCAGATTCCCTGTTGTAGAAGTCAACTTCTTTAGACAAGGGGGAAAAAAAAAAGTTGCAGAACACCTCTTTTCAATGCCAGGCTCCAGTTCGTCTGTGGTTTACAATGTCAAAGCTACCCAGAAAATACTACCCAGAAAATAAATAAGTAAGAGAGAGGGAGGGAGAAGGAAAGGGAGAGAGAGGGGGAGAGAGAGGGAGAGAGGGAGGGGAGAGGAAGATTAAAAGCACTTAAATAGATGCAGCTGAGCTATCTGTCTTATTATGATGCAGCTAATTACTGTAGATAAAAACTGTAGATGAAAACCTTGAATTCTTATCTGAATGAGGAGTGGTTCCTGTTAGTGTAATATAGTTCTGATCTTGGAAAAGTAATGGGTTCRATGGTAAGTTAGTCTACAGCTCTCTTGCCAGTAATTCCCTTTATATTCACTGTAGTCTTATGTGTTTGGCTGCAATCCCAATGGTTAATGAGGTAGTTCTGGGCGTGTGTTGGAAGTAGGCTGGGCTATGCTAATGAAACCAGAAAACATCCTGCTCGTCCAGTTTCTCCCTTTAAGCTATGCAAAGTCATAAATCTGCCAGATTTACAGAAGGGTGTTGTGCAAGTTACATTCAGAGAATCCCCCATACTTTGGTGGGAGGTACATATTTTCAACATATCCTATGATTGCCAGTTCTACAAGATTCAGAAATGTGACAGGGCCCTCTAAATGCCCTTAGCATGTTTGATTCCCTGGTAGGTGAGGTTTTCATTCATGCAGATACATTTAGTCACTGCACAGCCTGGGAAAAAGACTGGCTAGTTCTCATGAACAACTGAAATTTCATCTCATGGGCTTAGAAAATAAGTAACGGTGAACAAATAATCGTGGCTTGAGTTCTTCCCTGTCTCTGAAGCTGTTCCTTCAGTTTCCTCTGACAGTTTCTCTAAGTCCTATAATTCACACACTTATGCATTGTCAGTGAAATTTATTGAGGAATAACATGGTGTTTATACTATTGTTTGACGTGTCCCTAACTTTTTTTGTGTGCAGTATTTCCCTGTGTTCACATAACTTTGGGTGTGGGGGTCGTTACACTTTATAATACAACAGACAGACAGTCAAAGCTTTTTATTTTATGATGGCTTCCCTCAGCCCCCAGGGGAGAAAAAAAAAAAAAGCCTGCATTTATGAGTTGTGTCATTGGAATTAAACCGAAAAGCCAATACACTAGCTAAAATTGTGAAGCCAAGATAAAGAATACCATGTATATAGTTTGCTGCAGTGCCTTTTAATGCCCATTTGTCCAGAGAATACAAATCTGATTTCTGGAAGCTTTTAGAATAACAAAGTACTTGGATTTGTTGGCTACTTCTAAGGATCCCTGCAGAACCTCTCCCCATTGTTTTTAAAATGAAAATGAAGAGCTACTTTCTCAGCCTTCTAAAAGATGACACCTCTTGCTTTGTATCATGTGCAATAATACTTTTTTCCCAATTCAATGAATTCTAAATGTATAGAGAGAGAGAGGGAAGGAGGGGGTGGGGGAGAGAGATTTTATTTCCATCTGCAGAAGAATTTGATTTGTATTTTTCTAATTATTTATATTACATTAGATTTTCAGATTATTCCATAGTTTGGGTTTGAGGCCTATAGTGAGCCTCATTTAGTGACTAAGTTGTAGCATTCTAACCCTATTCTCTTGGCATAAAGAGTGGATTCACCAGATAAATGTAAATCTACTTTTAATAGAGAGGCAATATTGCTTTTTCTTTACAAATGCTATCTTTAACTTTATATCCATTCAGTATATACAAAAAGAGGTTTAGGAGCTATATATGTACTAATTATAAGATTTTCATAACCAAAATGAACACTGAAGATTTTTTTTCCAAAAAATACCTGGGTCATAAATTCAAATCTGTGCTATGAAATGAGAAAAATAATTGGAAGCTTGACTGAAATGACCAGTGGACAGTTCTTATTTTCACTATTTATAGAATTTCAATCACTTTAACATTTGAGTTAAGTCTTTATAACAAAGAGTTCACATGAAGCTGGGCATAATGGCGCACGCCTGTAATCCCAGCAGCTCAGGAGGCTGAGGCAGGAGGATCACAAGTTCAAAGCCAACCTCAGCAAAATCAAGGTGCTAAGCAACTCAGGGAGACCCTGTCTCTAAATAAAATACAAAATAGGGCTGGAGATGTGGCTCAGTTGAGTGCCCCTGAGTTCAATCCCCGATACCAAAAAGAGAAAAAAAGAGTACACCTGAAAAGTGTTTCCAGAATTGAAGGTGAATCTGTGCAGATGTACTCTAGATCACATCAGGACTAGTGATTGTTCTAAAACATTTCAAGACTGGGAGAAAGGAGAAATTAGTATAATAAAATAGTTCTGAAGTCTCTCAATCAAAAATTTCCTAAAAAAATAGAATAAATCATTCCTAAAAATCTTTTTCTGAAGTTTAAGTCTAGAATTCCAGCTCCAGATCTTTTTCAATTCCATATGCAGATGCATTATTTAAAACATGCCCAAATCTCACTCCAGAATATGGTATCATTTCTACTTAGAATCAGCAATACCAAGTAAAGAAAATCTTATGAAGGAATTTCTTCATGCACATGAAATAAATGATTTGTCTGACCTATACAATTCAAAAAGGCTAAGTATATATAACTTCTTAATAAGTTTTTGTGACTTGAGGCAGTTAAATTTCAACATTATGTACCATCTGCAGGGGGCACACCTCCCTAAATGTCCAGGATAACACCTATACAAAAAGACGGACTTACTGTCTTCCACTTCACCCATGGACCAATGGAAAAGTTCTAAAAACATCATTTTAATTTCTGTTATCTTCAAAATCAAACCCATTAGCAAAAGTCAAGTGACCCTTCTCTGTTCCCTTACCCACTGGCAAATTTCTGATCAATCCTACTCAACATGGCATGTTTGGGAGTTTTTTTGTTTTGGTTTGGTTTTTGGTTTTTGGTTTTTGGAACCAATCATGATTTGCTAACCTCTGTGTGAAGAACTATAGAAGGGGACAGGGAGGAGATATTGTTTCTGTATTTGATGGGCTCTTATTTAATGAAGAAAACAGGAAAATGAATGACTAACTCAAAGCAGAATGGGATAAAGTAATAATTAAGTCACATAATGAATGGTAGGGAAACTCAGAAGAGAAAGACTAGCATTCCCCATGAGAAAAAAAAAGGGAGGGGGCTTTTTCATTCTGCCTTGACCCTTCATTCCAACAGGTAAATAGAGTCACTCTGCAGAACATTACCTTAACTCTTCAGTCTATCTCTAAACTAATTTCCCTAGTTACATGGTCTTTTACATTTTCTAAATGTTTATTCAATATTTACCTCTTCCATGAAACTTTCCCAGGTTCCCCAGAGTTCTACCCATGCTGTATAATCAACATTCAGGTTGATTATAAAATCTCAGGCTATTCAGAGTGTAGTGCTGTAGACGTTTTCACAATTCATTGGTTTTCTTCCTTTAAATCTATTTCATGTGATTTTATTTAGTCTGGCTCATAAGATTGTAAATTCTTATGAGTAGGGATTAGTCACATACTTTGCTTTGTCTCTTTCCTTAGGATCTACTAGAAGGAGCTACAACCTAGGATCTACTCAGTAAGTATGAATATACAACGTTCCTACTGCTGAAATACCCAAGTCTGTCTCAGTCTGATTTCCAGGCTGTGCTGTTAAGATATCAGGAAAATAGGTGGAGAAAGAACAAGAATTAGACACAGTAGCAGGGGAAGTAAGGAGAGACTTTATCTTTGGTGGCTCAATTTCTCCCTGTTCTTTCCCAATCTGAAGAAAGTTCTTTCAACTCGGGTCTGTCTCCTTATATTATAGAATCTGCAGAGAGGAAAAAGTAAATGGGAAGAGCAGGAAAGAGGGAAGAAGCACAAGAGAGGCAGAAAATCTCCTGAATTGGAGCTACAAAGTTTTGGGGAATTGGCCCATGAGAGCTCCTGGAGCAATTGTGAAGTGTAAGGGATCAGGCCAGGCCTGAGTGACTTAAGAGTCTTTAGAGAAAATTTGTGCAAATTATAAATTGGATGACATTTGATGGTTTTGAGAGCCACAGATAAAGATTAACATTCTTACCTGGCACAGTAGTACATGCTTATAATTCCAGTGGCTCAGAAGGCTGAGTCAGGAGGATTGCAAGTTCAAAGCCAGCCTCAGCAAAAGTGAGGCATTAAGCAACTCAGTGAGGCCCAGTATGTAATTAAAATACAAAATAGGACTGGGGATGTGGCTCAGTGGTCAAGTGCCCCTGAGTTCAATTCCTGGTGGTACCCCCCCMCACCAAAAAAACAGATTGACATTCTTCTGATTTTAGCACAATGCTTTACCTGTACAGAGACTGGAACATTTAGAGCATTGATTTATATCCAAGTTACTTGGAAATAAAAGTTAATAAACCTTGGATGGCATCAATTTTTAATTCATATCTATTACTTCAGCACCTTGATTTGTGGCACATCTAATAAGAGGACAGTACAAAATGCTCTCATCTAGCAGAGTAAGTGGAAACTGAAAGCCACTCTATTCACTAAGCCAGGGTGGACCCATACAGAGAGACCAGCTTCTTTATCATTAAGTCTGCCAGACAGGATACCTTCTCCTAATTTACCCAAAGTTTCCTATAGGTTAGCAAAGCCCTGAATCCAACCTCTGTTTTAATTTTTCCAATGACTGAAATTAACAGGCTTAGAAAAACAGTCCCTTCCAATTTTCAGAAATTCTGATTTTTAGAACATTTTTTTCCTAATGATTGAACCAAGATCTGCTATTCAGATATCTACTCTTCAGTCTTTATCCGAATTTCTATGTTTTATTACAAACTCTTCAGCTCCAGGTCTGATTAGTTCAGGGCTCCCAAAAAGCCAAAATGATTAACTTTATGCTAGTATTGTTCAATTCACAAACACTACAGATTTAAGTAAGGATGCACACTTATAAATCAATTTCAGTCCAGAATGGTACAGTTAATATTTTTCTTATGATAGGCCAATCAGTACTATACATTGAGAAAAAATTCTATGCTCTCAGAACTAATTATTAATGAAGTTTATTTTGTTTTTCTTTGGACTAAATAGAACTTTCCAGTCTATTTCTCTACCATGTTTTTTTAAGAGAGAAAGAGAGAGAAGAGAGAGAATTTTTTAATATTTATTTTTCAGTTTTCGGTGGACACAACATCTTTATTTTATTTTTATGTGGTTCTGAGGATCGAACCCAGCACCTTGTGCATGCCAGGAGAGTGTGTTACCACTTGAGTCACATCCCCAGCCCTACCATGTTTTTTTTTAATCTTTCTTCCATTGTTTTATATTCTGTACTTTTTGACTCATAATAGGGAC